TGGGTGTGGTGTATGATGTGTGTGTGGCTTTGTGGTGTGTGTGGTTTTGTGGTGTGTGTGTGATGTGTGTGTTGTGTGTTGTGTGTGGTTTTGTGTTGTGTGTGGTGTGTGTGGCTTTGTGGTGTGTATAGTGTGCGAGGGTTTGGGTTTGTGGTGTGTGGTTTTGTGTGTGTGGTGTGTGCGTGTTGTGTGGTGTGTGGTTTTGTGCTGTGTGTGGTGTGTGATGTGTGTGTGGTTTTGTGTTGTGTGTGGTGTGTGCTGTGTGGTATGGGTAGTTTTGTGCTGTGTGTGGTGTGGTGTGTGGTGTGTGTGGTTTTGTGGTGTGTGTGTGGCTTTGTGGTATGTATGTGGTTTTGTGCTGTGTGTGGTGTGTGTGTGGTTTTGTGTTGTGTGTGTTGTGTGGTGTGTGTGGTTTTGTAGTGTGTGTGGCATGTGTGTGTTGTGTAGTGTGTGTGGTTTTGTAGTGTGTGTGGTGTGTGTGTTGTGTGGTACGTGTGGTTTTGTGCTGTGTGTGGTGTGTGTGTGGTTTTGTGGTGTGTGTGTGATGTGTGTGGTTTTGTGATGTGTGTGGTGTGTGTGTGGTATTGTGGTGTGTGGCGTGTGTGTTGTGTGATGTGTGTGGTTTTGTGCTGTGTGTGGTGTGTGTGGTTTTGTGGTGTGTCGGTGGTATGTGGCGTATGCTGTGGTGTGTGTGTGCTGTGTGTGGTTTTGTGCTGTGTATGGTGTATGTGTGGTGTGTGGTGTGTGTGGTTTGTGCTGTGTGTGGTGTGTGTATGGTTTGTGCTGTGTGTAGTGTGTGTGGTTTTGTGGTGTGTGTGATGTGTATGGTTTTGTGCTGTGTGTGTGGTGTGTGTGGTTTTGTGCTGTGTGTGGTGTGTGTGGTTTTGTGGCGTGTGTGTTGTGTGTGATGTGTGCATGGTTTTGTGCTGTGTGTGGTGTGTGTGGTTTTGTGCTGTGTGTGGTGTGTGTGGTTTTGTGCTGTGTGGTGTGTGTGTGGTGTGTGTGGTTTGTGCTGTGTGTGATGTGTGTGGTTTGTGCTGTGTGTGGTGTGTGTGTGGTTTGTGCTGTGGTGTGTGTGGTTTTGTGGTGTGTGTGGTTTGTGCTGTGGTGTGTGGTGTGTGTGGTTTTGAGCTGTGTGTGGTGTGTGTGGTTTTGTGCTGTGTGGTGTGTGTGTGGTGTGTGTGGTTTGTGCTGTGTGTGGTGTGTGTGTGGTTTGTGCTGTGTGGTGTGTGTGTGTGGTTTTGTGGTGTGTGTGGTGTGTGGTGATGTGTGTGGTTTGTGCTGTGTGGTGTGTGGTGTGTGTGGTTTTGTGCTGTGGTGTGACCACACTCACCCGGGTATGTTGTACCTGCCAGGTTCCCTGTCCCTTCCCTGGGGTGAATGGATTTGCCCACTTCTCTCCTCCTGAACCCCCACAGCTTCTTCAGAGCCTTCTCCAAGGCTCCTGCTTTCTCCATGAGGAAGGGGTGTGGCAAACACGGGGCTCCTAGACCAGCAGCCGCATACCAGGAGCACTCAGCCCAGGGGCACCCACCACAGGAGCACTCAGCCCAGGGGCACCCACCACAGGAGCACTCACCCCAGGGGCACCCACCACAGGAGCACTCAGCCCAGGGGCATCCACCACAGGAGCACTCACCCCAGGGGCACCCACCACAGGAGCACTCAGCCCAGGGGCACCCACCACAGGAGCACTCACCCCAGGGGCACCCACCACAGGAGCACTCACCCCAGGGCATTCATCCTGGGAGCACTCACCCCAGGGACCCTCACTCCAGGAGCACTCACCACAGGAGAACTCTCCCCTGTGGCACTCACCTTAGGAACCAGTTGTCCTGGCAGAGAAGGGGTCAGGCAATGTCACTGGCTAAGGAGAAGGCCCAAGGGGCAGAAGACTTCCTTGTGGGCCCTGCCAGGAGAGGCACTGCCGCTTGCTGAGGGAACAGACACCTGCCTTAGCAGGGAGGCACAGACACCTGCTGAGGGCGTCCAGATATCTGCTGGGGGGACACAGACACCTACGGGGAGCACAGACACCTGCTGGAGGGCGCAGACACCTGCTGGGGAGACAGAGACACCTGCTGGGGAGACACGGACACCTGCTGGGGTGACACGGACACCTGCTGGGGGGGACACAGACACCTGCTGGGGAGACACGGACACCTGCTGGGGGGCACGGACACCTGCTGGGGAGACACAGACACCTGCTGGGGAGACACGGACACCTGCTGGGGGGCACGGACACCTGCTGGGGGACATGGACACCTACTGGGGAGCACAGACACCTGCTGGAGGGCGCAGACACCTGCTGGGGAGACACGGACACCTGCTGGGGAGACACGGACACCTGCTGGGGGTGGACACGGACACCTGCTGGGGAGACACGGACACCTACTGGGGGGCACAGACACCTGCTGGGGAGACACAGACACCTACTGGGGGGCACAGACACCTGCTGGGGAGACACAGACACCTGCTGGGGAGACACAGACACCTACTGGGGGGCACAGACAACTGCTGGGGAGACACAGACACCTGGTGGGGAGACACAGACACCTGCTGCGGGGCACCGACACCTTCTGTGGGGGCACAGACACCTGCTGTGGGGGCACCCACACCTTCTGCGGGGGCACCGACACCTGTGAGGGCACCGACACCTGCTGTGGGGCACCGACACCTTCTGTGGGGACACTGACACCTACTGTGGGGCACCGACACCTGCTGGGGAGGGTGAGACACCTGCTGGAGGGACAGACACCTGCTGGGGAGGTACAGATGCCTGCTGTGGGGACACAGACGCCTGCCGGGGAGGGACAGACACCTGCTGAGGAGGGACAGACTCCTGCTGGGGGGCACAGACGCCTGCTGGGAGGGACAGACACCTGCTGGGGAGGGACAGACGCCTGCTGGGGGGCGCAGACACCTGCTGGGGAGGGACAGACATCTGCTGGGGAGGGACAGATGCCTGCTGTGGGGACACAGATGCCTGCTGGGGAGGGACAGACACCTGCTGGGGGGCACAGACACCTGCTGGGGAAGGACAGACACCTGCTGGGGAGTGACAAACGCCTGCTGTGGGGACACAGACACCTGCTGGGGAGGCACAGACACCTGCTGGGGAGGCACAGACACCTGCCGGAGAGGGACAGACAGCTGCCGGGGAGGGACAGACGCCTGCCGGGGAGGGACAGACACCTGCCGGGGAGGGACAAACGCCTGCCGGGGAGGGACAGACACCTGCCGGGGAGGGACAGACGCCTGCCGGGGAGGGACAGACACCTGCCGGGGAGGGACAGACACCTGCTGGGGAGGGACAAACGCCTGCTGTGGGGACACAGACACCTGCTGGGGAGGCACAGACACCTGCTGGAGAGGGACAGACACCTGCGCGGCCCGCGCCTGAGTCAGGGTTTCCCTGTTGTCTCCACTGCAGGCGCCCGCACTCCACATCCAGGCAGCCTCTGTGCCCTGTCCCAAGTCCCTGGGTGTCCACAGGGTCAGCACTTCAGGAGCGCGGGCATCAGCCGGGTGCGCTCTCCATTCCCGAGGTGGTTTATAGGCACTGGGGCGATGCCACCTCCCTGGAGGGCCCTGTCCACTCGGGCTGAACCGCCGGGCTGGAAGGAAGGTCTGCGCTGAGCCGCTGCTCAGGCTCGGCCAGCAGGGGGCAGCAGAGGGCAGCCGCGTCCCCGCCGGGAGCCCCGAGGGGAGGGCGCGGTGCGCAGGGCGTGGGTCTGCAGGGCTGGGGTCGGGGCGGAATCGCGGGACTGCCGGGTGTCTAGGGTTGTCTGTACTTTGACAGTAAGAGCTGGGCCCAGATAGTGACTTCCCAGCTCTGCAAGATTCACAGTAAGAGCAGGTCACGGTGTTCGGAGAGCTTTCGTTTATTTTCTTTTCTTTTTTTTTTTTTTTGTGATGGAGTTTCGCTCTTGTTACCCAGGCTGGAGTGCAATGGTGCGATCTCGGCTCACCGCAACCTCCGCCTCCTGGGTTCAGGCAATTCTCCTGCCTCAGCCTCCTGAGTAGCTGGGATTACAGGCACGCCCCACCATGCCCAGCTAATTTTTTGTATTTTTAGTAGAGACGGGGTTTCACCATGTTGACCAGGATGGTCTCGATCTCTTGACCTCGTGATCCACCCGCCTCGGCCTCCCAAAGTGCTGGGATTACAGGCTTGAGCCACCGCGCCCAGCCCATTTATTTTCTTTTGACCTCGTAACTCTTTATGGCAGGCAGGTCAGCAGAGCAAGAACTGTGACTTATCAAAGATTAGCAAACAAACCCAGAGAGGCTGAAGATGCACGCAGGGTCCTGGGGTTACAGCCGGGCTGGGAACACCGTGACTCAGAATCCCAGTGCCCCAGCCCCTGCCGGGCCAGGAGGGTGGGGGCCCTGCCCCAGCTCCACCCAGCTCTCTGTCCACCCTGCCACTGGTGGGCCGCCTGGGGCCGATGCCTCTCCGATTGTACTCACATCCACCGAGATTCCAATGAGCCAGGGTCTTGGTCTTACACCCCCAGGCTCACAGACACCCACTGGGACTTATTTTTAGAGCTCGGAGCGCTTGAAGTGCTCCCTGAACCAGCACGCATGGGTCGAGTTGGAGAGGGCACATTCCAGAATTCCGTTTCCAGTTGGTTTTATAATGCCTTTGTTTGAATGTATTGACAGAAGACTCAGTAATGGGACCCTGGGAACGAGTCACCCCACTTAATGGTGTGCTGCCCCGATGGTGGCACTTCTCAGGAGGTGACCCACTTGGGCAGACAGCAAAGTGCTGAGCGCCATGACGGTTTCCCTGGGAGAAGGGAAGAGATGAAGGCACATCTTGGGTCTCTGGGAGCCGAGGAGCCTTCCTTTCTGGAGCAAGCAGAAAGTCATCTTGTCAATCAACTTGACACTTCCTCCCACGAGAAAGGTGAGAAGATTCACATTGTTAAGGAGCCTTTGATGTACCAAGATCTCTTTTCAACGTACAGAACTTTTCAGTTACTCAGATAAATGGGGGAAGACTTGACATTTATTGTGCGTAATTTAAATTCAAATAGGCTCCTAGTGAAGGGAAATTGCTAGACACATGTGCCTTCCATTCTAGGCTTCTGCTGACACTCGGGCTCCGAACTACCTTAGAGCTGCCCTGATTTTTATAATCTAGAGAACAAAACCGCATTTTGGAATATCATTAAGCTAATATTTTTATTTTTGAAATGAAGTTACCCCACATGTGAGTTATTTCTTAAAAAACAAAAAACTCAGTCTGGGCCCCATGGCTCAGGCCTATAATCCCAGCACTTTGGAAGGCTGAGGAGGGCAGATCACTTGAAGGCAGGAATTTAAGCCCAGCCTGGGCAACATGGTGAGACCCATTTCTACTAACAAGAGAAAAATTAGCCAGGTGTGGTGGCACACGCCTGTAATCCCAGCTGCTTGGGAGGATGTAACACAAGAATCACTTGAGCCCAGGAGGCAGAGGTTGCAGTGAGCAGAGACTGTGCCACTACTCTCCAGCCTGGGCAACAGAGCAAGACTCTGTCTTAAAAAATGAATAAATAAATAGGATCACAGACCTGACTGCTCCTTGGCCTTTGGCTGTGATAAGTGTAAAATAGATCACAGACCTACACATAAAATGCAAAGCTACAAAACTCCCCCAAGGTTACACAGAAGAGTATTTTCGTGACTTTTGGTTTGGAGATGAGTTTTAGATATAACACCAAAAGCATACCCCATAAGAGAAAAATATGACAAGTTGTACTTCATTAAAATTAAATGTTTCTGCTCTATGAAAGACAGTGTTAAGAGAATGAAGGCCGGGCACGGTGGCTCACGCCTGTAATCCCAGCTCTTTGGGAGGGCAAGGCAGGCAGATCACGAGGTCAAGAGACAGAGACCATCCTGACTAACGTGGTGAAACACCATCTCTACTAAAAATACAACAAATTAGCTGGGTGTGGTGGCACGCACCTGTAATCCCAGCTACTCAGGACGCTGAGGCAGGGAAAACTGCTTGAACCCAGGAGGCAGAGGTTGCAGTGAGCCACGATTATACCACTGCACTCCAGCCTGGGTGACGGAGCAAGACTCGGACTCGCAAAAGAAGAATGAAAAGACAAGTCACATCCTCGGGAAAAACTTGCAAAACACATACCTTATGAAAGATTGCATCCAAAACATACAAAGAACTCTTTTTTGAGACGGAGTTTCGCTCTTGTCACCCAGGCTGGAGTGCAATGGCGCGATCTCGGCTCACCGCAACATCCGCCTCCTGGGTTCAGGCAATTCTCCTGCCTCAGCCTCCTGAGTAGCTTGGATTACAGGCACGCGCCACCATGCCCAGCTAATTTTTTGTATCTTTAGTAGAGATAAGGTTTCACCATGTTGACCAGGATGGTCTTGATCTCTTGACCTCGTGATCCACCCGCCTCGGCCTCCCAAAGTGCTGGGATTACTGGCGTGAGCCACCGCGCCCGGCCACAAAGAACTCTTAAAATGTAACCATAAGAACACAAACAATCCAATTTCAAAATGGACAAAAGATCTGAATCTCATGAATGAAGATATACATGGCAAATAAACATAGGAGAAGATACTGAACATCATACATCATTGAGTAATTGAAAATCGAAACAACAGGCTGGGCACAGTGGCTCACGCCTGTAATCCCAGCACTTTGGAAGACCAAGGCAGGCAGATCTCTTGAGGCCAAGAGTTCAAGATCAGCCTGGTCAACACGGCGAAACTCCATCTCTGCTAAAAATACAAAAATTAGCTAGACGTGGTGGCACGCGCCTGTAGTCCCAGCTACTTGGGAGGCTGAGGCAGGATGATCAGTTCAGGCCAGGAGTTCAAGGCTGCAAGGAGCCATGATTGTGGCACTGCACTTGAGCCTGGGTGACAGGGCAAAACTCTGTCTCTAAAACAAAATAAAAATAATTCATTGAAAAATTAAAAGCAATTAGGGTACTGTCTCGGTTTAAAACATCTCAACGGGGGTTTGAGCAGCATCGGCAGGGCCGTCTCAGGCTGCCGTCCCGCCCCTCCCGTCCGGCCCACGGCTGCCACTGCCACCGCCTGGGGGTTGGTTGAGGCGGACGGCGGGGTCCAGGCCGGAGTGCGTCGTTCCCGCTGCGCTAGGGGAAGCGGGCAGTCAAAAAATGGGTAAGAAGAGTCAAGTAAAAACTCAGAAATCCGGCACCGGTGCTACAGCAACTGTGTCACCGAAGGAAATCTTGAAGCTGCCCAGTGAACTGTGCAGAAACGCAGCAGCCCTGCGCCTGGCCCAGGAAGAGAGCGGAAGAGTATGTGTCCCGCGCCTGGCCCAGGAAGAGAGCGGAAGAGTATGTGTCCCGCGCCTGGCCCAGGAAGAGAGCGGAAGAGTATGTGCAGACCCAGACTCCAGCTGAGAAAACACGGGAAAAGCAAAAAGGTCTGTCCGTTACTTTTGATGGAAAAAGAGAAGATTACTTTCCTGATCTAATGAAATGGGCCTCTGAAAATGGGGCTTCTGTCGAGGGTTTTGAAATGGCTGACTTCAAAGAAGAGGGCTTTGGTTTGAGAGCAACAAGAGATATCAAGGCAGAAGAACTGTTCTTACGGGTTCCGCGAAAATTACTAATGACTGTTGAATCTGCTAAAAATTCAGCGTTGGGGCCTTTACATTCTCAAGACTGAATCCTTCGGGCCATGGGAAACATCGCCCTGGCCTTTCATCTGCTGTGCGAGTGAGCCAGCCCTAACTCCTTCTGGCCACCCTACATTCCACCTCTCCCCAGTGAATATGACAGTCCTCTCGACTTTGAAGAAGATGAAGTTTGGTACCTTCAGTCCACACAAGTCATACGTGATGTCTTCAGCCAGCATAAAAACACCGCTCAACAGGATGCGACAGGATGCCGACAGGATGCAACAGGACGCGGACAGGATGCAACAAGATGCCACAGGATGCGACAGGATGCTGACAGGATGCAACAGGATGCTGACAGGATGCGGACAGGATGCCACAGGATGCGACAGGATGCGACAAGATGCCGACAGGATACGACAGAATGCGACAGGATGCGGACAGGATGCCGACAGGATGCAGACAGGATGCCACAGGATGCCGACAGGATGCCACAGGATGCGACAGGATGCCAACAGGATGCGACAGGATGCCGACAGGATGCCACAGGATGCCGACAGGATGCGGACAGGATGCGACAGGATGCCGACAGGATGCGACAAGATGCCGACAAGATGCGACAGGATGCCGACAGGATGCGACAGGATGCCGACAGGATACGACAGAATGCGACAGGATGCCGACAGGATGCCACAGGATGCCGACAAGATGCCACAGGATGCGACAGGATGCCGACAGGATGCGACAGGATGCCGACAGGATGCCACAGGATGCCGACAGGATGCGGACAGGATGCCACAGGATGCGACAGGATGCCGACAAGATGCGACAGGATGCCGACAGGATGCCGACAGGATACGACAGAATGCGACAGGATGCGGACAGGATGCCGACAGGATGCCACAGGATGCTGACAGGATGCGGACAGGATGCGGACAGGATGCGACAGGATGCCACAGGATGCGACAGGATGCCGACAGGATGCGACAGGATGCCGACAGGATGCCACAGGATGCCGACAGGATGCCACAGGATGCCGACAGGATGCGGACAGGATGCCACAGGATGTGGACAGGATGCCGACAGGATGCGACTGGATGCGACAGGATGCCGACAGGATGCGACAGGATGCCTGCTTCTACGACGTCATCCAGACCCATCCTCATGCCAACAGACTGCCCTTGAAGGATTCTTTCACTTACGAGGACCGCAGGTGGGCAGTCTCTTCTGTTACGACCAGGACGGTTCCCTGGTGACCCTGGCTCCGATTCCTTTATAGGACATGCGTAGCCACACCAATGGCCTGATCACTACTGGTTACAACCTGGAAGATGACCAGTGTGAGTATGCGGCTCTGCAGGATTTTCAGGCTGGAGAGCAGATTTACATTTTTTATGGCACTTGATCAAATGCAGAGTTTGTGATCCACAGTGGTTTTTTTCTTTGACAATAATCACATGACAGAGTGAAAACAAAGCTTTCAGTGAGTGAAAGTGACAGACTCTACACCTGAAGGCTGAGGTCTCGGCGCCAGCCAGCATCCCCACTTCCAGCCTTTTTGTGATGCATTTTAAGGAGCCGCCCATGCTCAGAGTATTCTGCATAATTGAAGGAGCACTTGCTGGGAGACAATCTATCGACAGAGTCTTCACCTTGGGGAACTCTGAATTTCCTGTTAGCTGGGACAATGAGGTCAAACTTTGGACATTTCTTGAAGACAGAGATTTGCTTCTTTTAAAAACATATAAAACAACTATTGAGGAAGATAAATCCGTCTTGAAAAACCAGGATCCTTCTCGTCATGCAAAACTGGCCATCAGATTGCACTTAGGTGAGAAAGACATTTTGGAAAAAGCGGTGGAGAGTGCAGCTGTCACCCGGGAATACTGCCTCCCGCAGATGGAGAAGGCTCCGCTTCGCAAACATGAAGAGAGTAACCCTGGGCTGCTGGCGAGCAGCGTGGGGCACTGGAGGCTCCCCTGGTCCTGAGAAATCTCGGGGAGGAGGCTGGAGTGCAGGACGCCTTGAGCACCAGAGAGGCCATGAGCAAAGCAAAGGCCACGGAAAACGGGCTTGTAAACGGTGAAAACTCTATCCCTAACGGGACCAGGTCCGAAGATGAAAATCTCAATCAAGAAGGAAGTAAAAGAGCAGTTGAAGCTGCCACAAGATCTTTTTCAGACCGCGCTGACGCAGTGAAGGGATGGCACCGAGGAGAAGCTGGGTCGGGGGGTACCCAGTGGAGCAGGAGCTGACGGACAGTCCGTTCACTTCGCTGTATCTCCTTGTTAACATATTTCCTTCTGCATAGAGGAAGATAATGTTTTTGCTGCTTTATATACAAATGGTTTCTTTAAGTTATTTAAAAAATATAGCTTCCCTTTTTGACTAAGATTGCCATCTTTTAACAAACAGCAGCAAGGGACAGGGAAGAGGTGCGGGTGGGAGAGCTGCGGGCCATTGTGGGCAACAGTATGTTCTTTCCCATATCCTGGGGAAGGATTCAGCACCTCTCTCAGCTGTGCTTTGTGGGCCTGTCATCTTGATGACCAGAAGGAAAGCTTGCTCTGGCTCCTCCCAGCAGAGCTGGTGGCGGGACTCGGGTGTTCAGCATGAAGCTGGGGAATTGCACAGCAGAAAACAGAACTGAAGTTGGGAAACTTCAGAGCCTGGTAAAATCTTCGGTTTTTCTCCTTAAAAAATAACACCCCATTGGCCGGGCGCGGTGGCTCACGCCAGTAATCCCAGCACTTTGGGAGGCCAAGGCGGGTGGATCACAAGGTCAAGAGATGGAGACCATCCTGGTCAACACGGTGAAACCCCGCCTCTACTAAAAGTACAAAAAATTAGCTGGGCATGGTGGCACGTGCCTGTAATCCCAGCTACTAGGGAGGCTGAGGCAGGAGAATTGTCTGAACCCGGGAGGCGGAGGTTGCGGTGAGCCGAGATCACGCCATTGCACTCCAGCCTGGGTAACAAGAGCGAAACTCCGTCTCAAAATAAATAAATAAATAAACAAATAAATAAATAACACCCCATTACCAAAAGAAAAGGTAAGGTGGCAACCTTGTGTTTAATAGTTTAAATGTTGATGGTAATCCTTAAATGTATATATAAACACACACATATGTATCCAGTGATTTCTCAAGATTTCTTTTGAGTTTTGTTTTACTGTACTAAGAACTTGTCCTTTCTCCTTGAGTCAACGTAGGACGTGCGTCCTCCTCCTAATTTCAAATGTTGGCTCTGATTGTAAAGTGGTGGATTTGATTCCAGCCCTGGGAATGGAGAGTTTGCAAACACACAGCGGCCACAGCTTCACATGGTGGTGTGCGGTGTGAGGCAGCCCCCGGCTTTCCTGGTTCTCGCAACAGGCCAGAGGTTTTCAAAGCTACACTTTTGAGTAAAAGCCCTTATTAAAAGAAAAACATGATGAAAAAAATCTCAACAACCTTCACCCTAGATTCACACTAGTGTCTTCACAATTCTGAGTTCACGTCCTTGGAGTAACATCCCTGCCTGCCTGAAATCCCAGACATGCTCTAAGATCCTGTCACCTCCCTCGTGGGAAAAGTACCACCCACTCAGAAGTCATCACTGCCTTCACCTTTGTTTGAAGCCAAATAAGTCTCTCGTGGTGGGATGATTGTACCACAAGGCTCACGTGTGCATGGAGGAGAGTGGCATGCAGGTCCTTCGGATTCTTTCTGCAGCCATCCATGGTGTCACCATGCCCCTGCATCACTCCCGCGCTCCCTGACTGGCCCAGGACACTTGGGAGGCCTCAGGGAGCAGGCACTGAAGCAGCCCTCCAGGCCCAGGACACTTGGGAGCCCTCAGGGAGCGGGCACTGAAGCAGCTCCCCAGGCCCAGGACACTTGGGAGCCCTCAGGGAGCAGGCACTGAAGCAGCCCTCCAGGCCCAGGACACTTGGGAGCCCTCAGGGAGCGGGCACTGAAGCAGCTCCCCAGGCCCAGGACACTTGGGAGCCCTCAGGGAGCGGGCACTGAAGCAGCTCCCCAGGCCCAGGACACTTGGGAGCCCTCAGGGAGCGGGCACTGAAGCAGCCCTCCAGGCCCAGGACACTTGGGAGCCCTCAGGGAGCGGGCACTGAAGCAGCCCTCCAGGCCCAGGACACTTGGGAGCCCTCAGGGAGCGGGCACTGAAGCAGCTCCCCAGGCCCAGGACACTTGGGAGCCCTCAGGGAGCAGGCACTGAAGCAGCTCTCCACTGAACAAAGCAGGTATGCAGGTGAGACACACCCCGTGCCTGCCTGTCTCAGCTGCAAACATCAGGCGACACCCATGGCACTGTTCTACAACCTGGTCCACCTTCGGGTCCAGCCCACACTCTGTCAAATCTGCATAAACACACGGGTTTAGGGTCCCCATCCCTCTTTCCCTCTGTTGGTGTCTCACAGGGGAGGGCTCTGGCTCTCCGTTAGCAGGCGGCCATGCTAGGGTCTCTCAGACCCACACCTGCCTTCCCAGCCCTCGGCCAACACCCTTCTTCACCCTCTGCTGGGGGCCCCTCAAGGTGACCACAAGACCTCTTCAGGGCCTACACACTCACACATATACACAGAGACACACAGACAGACACACAGAGACAGAGACAGAGACACACATACAGAGACACACAGAGACAGACACAGAGTTACACACAAACACAGAGATACACACAGACACACAGAGACAGACACAGAGTTACACACAAACACAGAGATACACACAGACACACAGAGACAGACACAGAGTTACACACAAACACAGAGATACACACAGACACACAGAGACAGACACAGACACACACACAGAGACAAAGACACAGAGACAGGCACATACAGAGACACAGGCAGAGACAGACACACACAGAGACAGAGACAGAGATGTACACACAGACACATGCACAGAGACACCTACACAGACACAGACACACACACACAGAGACACACAGATACACACAGAGACAGAGATACACACAGACACAGACACAGAGGCAGACTCACACAGAGGCAGAGACACACAGAGACAGAGAGAGACACAGAGACACACACAGAGAGACAGAGACACACAGAAACACACAGAGACAGACACACACAGAGACAGAGATACAGAGACACACATAGTAGACACACTCACAGAAACACAGACAAACTCACAGACAGAGACAAACAGAGACAGATACACTCACAGAGACAGGCGCACGCCCCAACAGAGAAACATATGGACACAGACACATGCAGACACCCAGAGGTACCCTGAGTTCAGTCCTCACCCATACAGGGGAGGAGAAGCTCCTCCACACCCCTTGGGGACACTATGGGGCAACCTGGTGCCCTGCAGCTGTGTCCCCTTCCTGAGGAGGGGCCGGGGCCTCTACTGAGGCCACTGCTTCAAGGCTCCTAAAGAGGCTGCTGGGTCCCCAGCCCCCACATTCTCCACCTTCCCTGGGGACGCATGTTCACTCTCTCCGGCTGCTCTAGCTACTTACCAAAATGTAGTGGCTCAAGGCAGTGCAGATGTTCCTGGACAATTCTGCAGAATTTCGTAGCAGCCTCATGGGGCTGAAATAGGGGCTGGTGCCTGCTGGAGGCTCCAGGGGAGCAGCCAGCCCTCACCTCTCCCACCGTGGGACCGCCTGTCTCCCCACCATGGCCAGCCCGCCAGCCTCTAGTTCTGAGTCACCTCCCCTCCCTCTCCAGCCCTCCTGCCCACCCTGTGACTCCACCTGCCCACCAGGTCTCCCAGGATCCTCTCCGTCTCAAGACCCTTCAGTCACATCTGCTCAGTCCTGTGTTTCACAGGCTGCAGTCACAGGTCCTAGGGATTAGGATGTGGACATCCTTGAGGGCCCTTTCTTCAGCGGACCACAGGTGCCAGTATCCCCAGCCCTGCAGGGTGGGCTGCTTTTGGCAGGCTGGCTCCTTCTCCGAGGTCCCTCTAGCTGTCCTCTTGGACATGTGCTCAGACGTCCAACCCAGAGACACAGGGATGGGAGCTGGCACACAGGGAAAGGGACCTCCCACATTTTTCTGTCTTACACCTGTACTTCAGCTCATTATCTTAAACTGAACAGGGAGGCCTTGGAGAGTATGTCTTATAGCTGGTTCTAAGCCAAGGGCCACGCCTAGAAGAACAGGAGCTGCTGTACCTGACGGGAGGAGTCCAGGGAAAGGAAAGGGGACAGGTTTGGTCCCCCACAAATCCAGTCCCCTCCAGCTACCTGGGAAAGGACCTCAGGAACTCATGCCTCTGCCTTAGGCAGGTGAGCATCAAGGCCATGCTCCCAGGCACTCTCGGCTTATCCTTCCACAGAGGAGAGGAACACAAACTCCAGGGCGGTGGGATTCCTTCCCAGTGGGCTGGTCGTGGAGGGAAGCTGGGAACCAGAGAGAAGGGCTTGGCAGAAAATGCTGGGAGGCTGCTCCAACAGCAACCTGGAGAAATTCAAGGGAATGGGAGCCTAGAGAGAGAGCAGAGCCTCCAGCAGCCACACATGGAGAATAAGACTGGAAATCCTGGAAAGAGAGGGCTACTGGGAGGAAGGGCTAGGGAGTTCCCATGACACGCTCCCCTTGCCAATCTGTGAGCCAAGGATGATGGGTCAGGAGCGGCCTCTCCAGCCACAGCATGGGAACCACTGAGTGCTTCCCGCAGCACCAGTGAAGAAATCAGCCACAGAGCCGGGTGGAAATCCCGCCCCTCCGGCATCCTCTCGTCCTTGAGCACCAGGATCCCAGGAGGCGGTGGCCAGCGGGTTCGGTCACTGCATGAGGGTGTTCTTGTCAGGCAGAGCCAGTGCTGAGGCCCCGTGCGCCCCTGCCCCACAATCCGCCATGAAGGGTGGAGTGTGGAGCATACGCCTCTGCACTGCTCCATGTTTTATGACATCCAGACTCAAGGCTAAGAGCCCCAGCCTCGAAATTTGAACCTACCTTAAACTGGGCTTCAATTCTCGGTGATTGTAAAGCCGTAAGCAAGTGATTTAATCCCTCTAAGCCTCAGTTTCACCATCTGAAAAAGCGGGATGGCAATACTCAGCTCGTAGAGCTTCATGAGCACTAGATGACGTGCGTGTGAAGTGCTCCGTGCTGTTCTGGACACGTGGGGCGTGTCCACGGTGCCGCTAAGAGCACAGGTCGACCCCACTTCATACCTGCACCTGCCGGCTGCTCAGATGGTGGCCCCTGCTGAATAAAAGCAGGGGCAATTAGTAGTCAACTGCTCACACACAGCTACGGCGTCAGCATGTCAACGTGAACCAGGGATTGAACGAGACACTGAGGCTGGAAGACAGCAGGAACGGCCAGGGGAGTGGTGAGGTAGGAAAGCGCATGGAATTCTGCACACACACGAACCTGCTTTCTTTCGCTGCCGTAACACGTTCCCGCAGTCTTAATGGCTACACCACCACCTATGTATTATCTCACAGTTCCTTGGGTCAGAAATCTGGGCAGTTTGCCTAGCTGGTCTTCTGCTTAGGGTCGCAGGAGCCTGAAACCAAGGTGCCAGCAGAGCCGCACCCCTTTCTGCAGGCTCCTGGAATGAATCTCCTTCCAGACTCTTCCAGGCAGTTGTCTGAACGCTGCTTGTTTGCTCGGGTTCTCATCTTGGTGCCAGCTCTCAGGCGGGGCTAGACTTGGCTCCCAGAGGCAGCCCAGATTCCTGCTCACGCCTTGCACACACCCGTCCAGCACCTGCAGGCCAGGTCCCTCTTGCGCTCTGACACGCTCTAACTCTCCTTTCTGCTGCATCGCTCTGACTGCAGCTGGAGAAAGTGTCTGCTTTGAAATGCTCAATTAGATTGGGCCCACAAGGATGATAATCGGCAAATCCTGGAACTTTGAATCCATCTGCAAAGTCCCTTTTGCCACGCAATGTGACATGGCCACAGGTTGCTTCTGGGGATTGGGGTGTGGACATCTGGAGGGCTGCTGTTCTGCTGGCCACACGCAGGCACACATCTCTCTTGTCCTGTAACCCTGATGTTTCCTCTGCCACATTCAGTACAGCATGTAGAGATGTTCTATTTGAAATGAGGAAGGAGTGCAGAGGAAGACGGGGACAGACAAACGCCCCAGGCCAGAGAAGCAAGGCCCAGGAGACGGAAGCGGGTTACATGGGGTTTTCCTTCTCAATTCACAGGTCTCGTCACAGCCTTTTGGCCACCCCTCTCTTCATACCTCCTTCCTTGTCTCTGTGCCTTCATTTCTTCCCATCTTTCTTCCCTTCCTTCAGCATTTGACAAACATATGAGGAGTGGATCTTTTCCGACAGGAAGAATGATGGAAAGACGCCTAATGCCTTGCTGGCTCCAGCAGTACGAGGCAGCCATGTGTCAAAAGTCAGACACACAAACCAGCCCCCCGCCTCTATCCACACTCTCCACGCAGGCCCTCCTGCTGCTGCTCCTCCAGCCAGCCCACAGGCGGGCAGCCGGGGTGCCTTCTACTCCAGCCAGCCCACAGGCGGGCAGCCGGGGTGCCTTCTACTCCAGCCAGCCCCCAGGCGGGCAGCCGGGGTGCCTTCTACTCCAGCCAGCCCACAGGCGGGCAGCCGGGGTGCCTTCTACTCCAGCCAGCCCACAGGCGGGCAGCCTGGGTGCCTTCTACTCCAGCCAGCCCACAGGCGGGCAGCCGGGGTGCCTTCTACTCCAGCCAGCCCACAGGCGGGCAGCCGGGGTGCCTTCTACTCCAGCAAGCTTCGCAACATGGTTGATTTTCCATGGGAAGACCGCACATCCTACCCATAGGCTACATCCATGATAACACTGAGATGACTACTCAGTCTAAACTTGAAAATAATCCATATTTGGTAATTTTGAATACTATTTAGTAGTTGAAATCTAAATCAATCAAAAATATTTCAGATCTGTGCAGTGGCTCATGCCTGTAATCCCAGCACTTTGGGAGGCTGAGGCAGATGGATCATTTGAAGTCAGGAGTTCGAGACAAGCCTAGCCAACATGGTGAACCCCCATCTCTACTAAAAATATAAAAATTAGCCGGGTATGGCGGCATACACCTGTAATCCCAGCTACTCGGGAGGCTGAGGCAGGAGAATCCCTTGAACCTGGGAGGTGGAGGTTGCAGTGAGCTGAGATCGTGCCCCTGCACTCCAGCCTGGGTGACAGAGTGTGACTTTATCTCAAAAAAAAAATTAAATTAAAAAATTTGAAAATAAAGGTATTTGGGGCAAGTATGATTTTTTTCAAACACTTAAGATATAAAGTTCTTCATAGGCTTGGAGAAAATTTATGGTAAATTAGACTTTTAAAAAATCCGTTTTATTGTATCATTCACAGAGAATAAAATGGGTTCACTTTCAGTGTCCAGTTCTGAGTCTTGACAACCATGCGTGCTACGTAACCGCGGCTGCCACGGGACGGGGAACACGTCTGTCCCCCCAGGGAGTTCCTCCCACTCTTTCCAGTCAGTGCCCCGCCCTCGTGCCCCATGAGGTTTTTTAAATACTGTAGAGCAGTTTCACCTGCTTTAGAACTTCAGGATTCTCCAGAGAAACAGTGTATGGAATGAGCTTTACTTTCAGGAACTCGCTTACGCAATTGTGAAGGCCGACAAGTCCAAAAGTGGAGGGTGGCAGGGCAGGCCAGCAGGCAGGAAGCTCAGGCCAGGGCTGACAGCAGCCTGGAGGCAGGATCTGTTCTCCAAGAAACCTCAGTATTTGTGCCGAAGGCCTCTGACTGATTGGATGAGGCTCACCCACATTAGCAACGGTAACCTCCTTTTCTGTGGGTGCCACGTCTACGGAACCCCCGTGGCTGTGCGTGGCTTAGATTTGATGACACAACTGGATACTATACCCTCGCCACATTGACACTCGAGACGAAGTATACAGTAAAATAAAGGGGTGCATGCGGCCTGCTCGCCTCTGCGCCTGGCTCCTTCCATTCCCACAATATTCCTGGGACTCATCCCTGCTCTCTGCATCAGTAACAGCTCATGCCGTTTGAATACAACAGGCTAGGTTCTCATACACGGCAGCATTTCCAATTCAGCTGTGAGATCTAAGAGAGAATTTTAAAATATAGAATTGCTGTCAATACTCAGAAACTTGCAAACACCAATTAGAATCCAAACAGAAATTCATTTCAACTACTAGGTTGTGCAAAAGTAGTTGTGGTTTACCTAACTATTTTAAGTTTTTAGCAACTCAAAAAGAATGGTTAAAAATCTCTTTCTGGTCAGCTGGCGCACAGCGGGACACAGGGAAGGCAGCTCACCAGTTTCAGGAAGATGTTACTTCTGCGGGCTACATCTCGTTTCTACAGTTAGATTTAATGGAAGGTAATTAACCAGAAAATACATTCTAAATTACAACTGTCTTGTCATCACTTCAAAAGACATATTTCACACACATAAAAGCAATTACATATGTAAACTAAAAATAAAATCCTAAGCCCCCACCCCCGGCTGAACAAACCCCCCTGTGGCCAAGGGGACCCCAGGAAAACCTTAAAACTGAGGCTATGATGGTAGAATGGGAGGTCAGACAGGCCTCCTGAGGCCCCCTCCCTTTTATGGTTTAGACACAACAGACAAGCGTTAATGTTAAGCTGGAGACCGTAAGACCGACAGAACGGACTCTGTGGCGGTAAGATAGGAAATTATAAACAGGACCTACAGCCGTGCGGTGGGGGGGGTGGGTGCAGCCACGAACCTGCACGTACAGAGTAAAGGACCTTCTCACGGCCAACGGGTTTTCTTCTCCAGCAGGTAAGCAAGCGCTGGCCTCGGGATGAGCAACGCTAAAACAGCTGCAGCTCCACAGCCACCAAGTGAGCCCCAGGCCTGCCCCCCAGCCGGAACAACAGCTTTCACTGGACAGAGTGTAACTTTCTCCTGGCGAGAGACCACTGCTTTGGACTAGTTCTGGTGAGTTTACAGAGGCTGAATATCTGCATGCCTTCCTGTCCTGAGGTACAGGGCCTAGTTGTTATTTAGCTTTATTTTTTACTTTATTTTTTAAATAATTTTTTTTTTTTTTGAGACCGAGTCTCGCTCTGTCGTCCAGGCTGGAGTGTAATGGCACAATCTCAGCTCATTGCAACCTCTGCCTCCCAAGTTCAACCGATTCTCCTGCCTCAGCCTCCCGAGTAGCTAGGACTACAGACACACATGACCATGCTAGGCTACTTTTTGTGTTTTTAGTAAAGATGGGGTTTCTCCATGTTGGCCAGGCTAAGCTCGAACTCCTGACCTCAGGCGATCTGCCCACCTTGACCTCCCAAAGTGCTGGGATTACAGTCGTAATATATTCAACTGTTGAGTTTCCCCACTCCAAAGTGAGATTGGGTCCTGTGTGACATAATACGCACCTGTCAGGACCCCCTTCATGCGTATCCACAGCTCCTCCTAGAGCCTGTTGACAATGTGTGTTTAGCCAACCTGCTCAGCCCAAGCTCCTGCCACACCCTCCTCCTCCTTCTAACAGCCCACCTCCCATCCTGGCCTGGGGGATGGCCACCTTGCGACTGTAACCCTCTATAAGAAATAAAGTTCATATGTCTGTCTGTATATGTGTGTATACATGTGCAATGGTATGTGTTTGTGGCATGTCGATATGCATGTGTGTTGTGTGCATGTGTATGTGTGTGCATAGTGTGTATGTAATACGTATGTTTTCTATGTTAGATATACAGAGAGGCCCTCTAAGGGGAATATAACACTTGAGTAAAAATGTGAATAAAATGAAAGAATTAACCATGCAGATAACTGGGGTAAATACATTTCAGGCAATGCAGAGACCCTGAGACAGGAATATTTTGATTCATTCAACCAAGAAGAAGGACAGAGAGCTAGTGGGAAATGACAGGGCAGAGGTCGGTAGGGATCGTATCATATAGGTGGCGACCCATGATAGTATCTATGAGTTATTATGAGTTCAGTCTTAGCATTAATGATCACCACTAACTGTGCGTGACATATTATACAGTCCCTGAGCCCTTTTCACAACCTTTGTCTTGTTTGATGCTTACAACCCTGAGAAGTTGCTATTAGTTTGGTCAGTCTATATAAAAGGAAAATGTAGGAAACTGTCTACAATTCTCCATGCAGACATGCCACATACACATCCCATGACACATGTATACACACATGCCGATAGACATGCCACACACACATACCATGACACATGTATACACACATGCCTATAGACATGCCACATACACATACTATGACACATGTATACACACATATACACAGAGACATATGTACACACATGCATACATACATGCCACATACACATACCATGACACATGTATACACACATGCCTATAGACATGCCACACACACATACCATGACACATGTATACACACATATACAGACATATGTACACACATGCATACAGACATGCCACATACACATACCATGACACATGCATACACACATATACAGACATATGTACACACATGCATAGACATGCCACATACACATACCATGACACATGTATACACAGATACACACAGAGACATGGGTACACACATGCATATAGACATGCCACATGCACATACCATGACACATGTATACATACATGCCTATAGACATGACACATGTATACACACATATACAGACATGCACACACATGCATACAGACATGCCACATACACATACCATGACACATGTATACAGATATACACAGAGACATGTGTGCACACATGCATATAGACATGCCACATGCACATACCATGACACATGTATTCACACATATACAGACATATGTACATACATGTAGACATGCGACATACACATACCATGACACATGTATACACACATATACACAGAGACATGTACACACATGCATATAGACATGCCACATACACATACCATGACACATGTATACACACATATACAGAGACATATGTACATACATGTAGACATGCGACATACACATACCATGACACATGTATACACACATATACACAGAGACATGTACACACATGCATATAGACATGCCACATACACATACCTGACACGTGTACACACATATACACACAGACATACGTGCACATATGTATGCACATACTAGTTTCTTATCCTGCTTTACCTTTTTCCCAGAGTGCTACCTCTTCCTGAAATTATGTGTTTATATGCTTGTTTACACGTTTGTTATCTGACTCCCCACTGTAAGCTCTTTGAGGGCAGCGACTTTGGCTTGTTCAAAATTCTATTTCCAGTCCCAGAACAGATCTTGAGTCGTAATGTATATAATATTACTGAGAAATAATTCAAATACCATACAGTTCACCTATTAAAAGTGAAAAAAAAAAAAAAAGAAAGTTCCTCTTTTTCCACATTTATACACTGTGGGGTTTTTAAGTTAACACATTAAAGAGATCTGGTCATTAACTCGGTTTTTCAAGTGCCTTCCTGAGCAGCTTGGCTAAAACTACATTTTAAAAAGAAGACTGCAGCCCCATTTTCCTGCTCTTCTTCTCAACAGAGAAGTAGGTGTTCACTGACTCCAGTTCCTCTCCTGCCACTCTCCCCAGAGCCCTCTGCAAACCTGTGATCCTAGTCCATTCCATAGCCACCGCTCTGTCCACGTCAGTAATGGCCTCCCCGTGGCTACAACCAAATGGTCCGTCCTCCATACTCACCACACAGCATCACAGAGAACCACTCCCTCCCGTCTTCAGGTGGAGGGCTTCAGGTGGAGTCTCCAGGAGCCCATCTGCAGGCCATTCATCCTCCACCTTCTCACCCCTGCAGGGCTCTGTCCTTGGTCCTGTCCCCAACTGTCCTCCCTTTTGGGGTTACCTCAGCCAGTTTCCTGGCTTGAAATGACCTGTAGGTGCCCTCAACTTGATGCTCCAGCCCTGGCTTCCCTGTGTGCTCCAGGCCAGTCTGTCTGTGCGACAGCGCCATGTGGTGACAGCCAACCTCTGGTCGGCTGCACCCACCCCCACCCAGCTGTGCCTCTCCAGCCCTTCCGCTGCAGAAACTCCACCCTTCCTGATGCTCAGACCACTTAAGTCCCAGCTCTCTCTCACACTGCATCCTTTCCATCAGCAAATCAGGGGCTCTGCTGTCGAAGCACTTGTCTCTGAAATCCGACTGGTTCTCACCACCCAACCCCATGTTCATCACTCTATTCTCAACCCTGTGCCTGTAAGGCCATGCTGGCCACCTGATTCGTCTCCCTGCTTTCCCTCCCTGGATTCCCACAGGCTATTCTCAGCAGAACAACCACAGAAGCTCTGGTGAAGCCCAAGCCCACACGAGCCTCTCTCTCTCTGAGTCCAAGTCCCCTAAGCGGCCTGCCCACTGTCCATTCTCCTCCACTTACTGCCCTGCCTTGACTCCACCCCTGGCCTCCACCCCACTCGCCCTGCAGCCACGCCAGGCATGGCCCTGCTTCCTATCTTGGCTCCTGTTGGTCTCCCCTCCTGGCCAAGCTTTCCTAGATGTCTGCATAGCTTGCCCTTTATCGCCTTGAGTCCTCTCCAGTCACCCCGCGCAAGACTCTAACTCTCCCATACACATTTCCTTCTTCCCTGCTTCCTCTCTCCAGCCCCAACTGACTTATCACATATTTACTTCCTATTGTCTGTCTCCCCCACTGAAAGGTAAGGTCTACCAGGGCTGAGATTTCTCTGTTCTGTTAATCCCTTACCCCCAGGGCTGTGAAGGGGGCCACAGGTGGTGGGAGCTGCCAATAAATAAAATTTGCAGAGTGGACAAATGTTCTTGATTTTCAGTGACTGCCTTTTAGTGGTTTAATATGATCAGTGCCCACTGTCGCTTTCCTGAAAAAAGTTCTGATTCTGGACATCAGTCCCATACGAACAGTCTCATGATAGCTCGACTTCAGATGTTCCAACTTTACGATGGGTAGACTGGGTATGAGATGCATTTTTGACGTAGGAAGGGCTTATTGGCGGAGAGAGTAGCCCCACTGTAAGTCGAGGAGCACCCGAATCGCTCAGTATGCCAGAGAAAACCACCCACAAATGAAGAAACGATCGGCTGTGTTTCCCTAAGACTGCACCGGAAGCTCCAAGAACCCGTAAGATAGCCATCTGGTGGGCAACGGTGCGCTCCCACAGGGAGGTGGGCCGACTTGAGAAACTGAGGCGGGAGGATGGCTCGTGCCCAGGAGTTCGAGAAGAGCCTGGGCAACAGAGAGAGAGATCCGTCTCTACAAAAAAAATTTAAAAGTAGCCTACTCCCAACTACTTACGAGGCTGACGCAGTAGGATGGCTTGAACCCAGGACTTCGGGACCAGCCTGGGCAACAGAGAGAGAACCCCGTCTCTACAAAAATTTAAAAATTAGCTCGCAGCTACTTCCGAGGCTGAAGCAGTAGGATGGATTGAGCCCAGGAGGTCAAGGGTGGAGGGAGCCGAGATCGCGCCCTGCACTCAAGCCGGGGCAACAGAGCGAGACTCCTGGCAGCGGCCGGTGGGCGGGAGGACGCGCTCACGTGCGGCTCGCTCAGGTGAGACCGGCCCACATGCTCCGCCCACCGCTGCCAAGCGCGCCCTCCATTGGCTGTTCCGCGGAGAACCCACGCTCCCATTGGCAGATGCGGACTGGGGCGTGTCCGACCCAGCGGCGCCGTGTGAATGTTTGCGGCTGCCGCCGAGGCCCTACCTGAGTTCCGGTGAGTAGGGGCAGCGCTAGTCTTCAGGGGAGCGCCGGGCGCACACCGAACCACTGAGGGAGGCCGAGGGCCGAGGAGCTCGCCTGTGCCCGCCGGCCGCAGCTTCCCTCCGCAGCCGCCCAGGCGACCGCAGGCCAGAGCGGCGCTGGACCCAGGGCCAGGGTCGGCTCGCGCAGGCGCAGTGGGCTGCCCCGGCGGCCCCTGCGGCCCGCCCCGCCCGCGGCCTGTCCGAGGAGGCGGAGGGAGATGACGTCATCGAGCAGGGCGACGGGCATTGGGCGCCATTTTGAAAAAGGAAAAAGGTCCCTCCCCGGCGGCGGCGGCGGCGGCGGCGGAGCCGGAGCCGGAGCCGGAGCCGGCCGGGGCTGAGCGCTCGGCTGCAGCGGCGCGGAGGCCGTCTCCCTGGTCTGCCGCGGTGCCCACCCGTCCCGCCGCCGGCTGCCATGGCAGGTGAGGGGTCTGCGCGGGCCGGCGGGGGCCGCGGGGGCGGGCAGGAGCCGCAGCCGGTCTGACCGCCCCGTTGTGTTTGCAGGAGCCGGAGGCGGCGGCTGCCCCGCGGGCGGCAACGACTTCCAGTGGTGCTTCTCGCAGGTCAAGGGGGCCATCGACGAGGACGTGGCCGAAGGTGAGGCCCGCGCCCCGCCCCGCCTGGGATCCTAGCGGGCAGCGCCCGGCCGCGGCCTCCGGGCCCCACGCGCCGGTGGAAGGCAGGCAGGAGGATGGGGGCCCGGCCGGGCGGGGGCCGGGGTCGGGGGGTTGCCGTCCTCTGTCCGCGGTCCTGTCCCGCGGGCGTGGGTGGAGGCGCCTGGCCCGCGGCGGGGCTTATGTAAGTCACCAAGGTCACGGGCGGCCTGGCCTTCCGAACGCAGCTCGCGCCGGGGGCTGCCTCCTGCCCGGGGCGGAACCGAGGAGACCGCGGTGGAGCCGGGGACGGGAACGGAGTCCAGATCCTGCGCTCGGGCGGCGGGGCACCATTGCCCGGAGGATGGGGACGCGCCTGGGGCTCCCCCGATCCGGCTCCGCGTTTCCTCGCCGGTGCGCTCTCGAGCAAGCTTGTTGCCTTGGTTTGTCCACCCTTAACAAGAGCACTGGCTCCCTGATTCTTACGATCCGCTTTCTGAAGTTCTAAAATCCTTGAATTTTGCTATGAAGTATTATTGTTCCTTCTCCGCTAATACATTTTGAAGTCTCTATTCCAGATTTTAATCTTGAACCTTACGGTGTTAACTTGGTCTTTGCCTGAAATCATACCCTTAAATTGACCCAGGCACAAAGTTTTAGGGTGCTGGGAGGGAACTGGGGAGTGCCTCCTGCCCCAGCTTCCCATGAAGCTTACATGTCACCTTGAAGTGTAGGAGCTGTGTAGCTTCCCTTCCGCACAGCTAAATGGAGAACTTGGTCGAGTCTTAGAAGTTTGAGTTTCAGATTTAGAGCCATAGTGGCCTTTTTGTTGTTCATACATCTTACTGAACATTGTAAATCTTTACCCTCTTCTTTTTTTTTTTTTTTTTTTTTTTTGAGACGGAGTTTCGCTCTTGTTACCCAGGCTGGAGTGCAATGGTGCGATCTCAGCTCACCGCAACCTCCGCCTCCTGGGTTCAGGCAATTCTCCTGCCTCAGCCTCCTGAGTAGCTGGGATTACAGGCACGTGCCACCATGCCCAGCTAATTTTTTGTATCTTTAGTAGAGACGGGGTTTCACCATGTCGACCAGGATGGTCTCGGTCTCTTGACCTCGTGATCCACCCGCCTCGGCCTCCCAAAGTGCTGGGATTACAGGCGTGAGCCACCGCGCCCGGCCCTACCCTCTTCTTAAAAATGATTTGTGTGTGCACCAAACACACCTTCCCTGCCTTAAGTTGCTAAAAGCTCCTCGTCAAACGTCCTGTCCACCTCGCTGCATCTCGGTCCCCCATGACCTTTTACTCCCTCTTTCCCACCCTGTATCTCTCCTCACAGTGTCTGGTTTGGCGCATGACCATTGAGGGCATTTGGAGATTCCTAGCCTCCGGGACAAACAGGGCCTGGGTGGTGAAGCAGGTGAAACTGGGCTCTGAGAAATGCGGGAAGATGTGTATGGTTTGAGATCGAAACTAGGCGCATTTTATGTGATCTGAAAAGTGTATTGATTTTTTTATTTTTTTAAAACATATTACTTTTTTGTTTGATTTTGCATATGCCAAGCAAGTGACAGTTCAGCCTTACCCAAGTGTGACTTCTGTCCCAGTAAAGCAAAAGTCATGTGGGAGTAGGGAGGTGAGAGGGCTTAATGCCTGACTTAATTTCTGTTTGTTTGTTTTTAAACTCTTTCTTTTCTTTTCTGGCGACAAGGTCTCACTGTAGCCCAAGCTGGAGTGCAGTGGCACCATCTCGGCTCACTGCAGCCTCTGCCTCCTAGGCTCAAGTAGTCCACCCACCTTAGCCTTCAGAGTAGCTAGGACTACAGACGTGTGTGCCACCACACCAGGCTAATTTTTGTTATTGTAGGGGGTTTCGCCATGTTGCCCAGGCTGGTCTCGAACTCCTGGCCTTCAGTGGTCTGCCCACGTCAGTCTCCCCAGGTGCTGAGATTACAGGCGTGAGCTAACATTCCTGGTCTGGTTTCTTTACTTAAAAAAAAAGTTACTGATAAGCTGAATGAATTAAAATTTAAGTGTAACTAAAGTTTATTTTAAATGTGACTTTACACATATGAAAATAGCATCTTTTAAAAAAATCTTGGGCTGGGCCTGGTGGCTCATACCTGTAATTCCAGCACTTTGGGAGGCCGAGGTGGACAGATCACTTGAGATCAGGAGTTTGAGACTAGCCTGGCCCACATGGTGAAACCCCATGTCTACTAAAAATACAAAAATTAGCCGGGCATAGTGGCGCACACCTGTAATCCTGGCTACTTGGGAGGCTGAGGCAGGAGAATCACTTGAACCTGGGCTGTGGAGGTTGCAGTGAGTCGAGATCCTACCACTGTACTCCAGCCTGGGCAACAGAGCAAGGCTCTAAAATATATATACACGTATATGTGTATACATACATATATACACACGCACACACACCTTGTTCTCTGAATTAAACTGATGGCAACTTTTTGCAGTTTTAAAATCCTATTTTAAGTTAAATTATGAGTAAATCCAAGAGTTTGATATTTTGAGTTGTCATGGTTTTTTTGTAACATTGCTTTGTGGTAATTATCCACGTGTTTTGGTTATTTTATGTATTCAGAGCTTTTTATTTTCATCCATGTTTGCTTTGGCCGCGGTCACCCGTCAAGGTGAACACATTTGTAACTCACCGCCAGTCTGTCCTGTAGTTCTGATACCGCTGGTTTGTATGCTTGACCACAGTCGATGATGGTAACGGAAGTGCAGACGTGAGTCGCCAGGGATTGTTGAGCAGCCAGGTTCAAGAAGCTGGTCGTGCCCAGACGCAACCTTGATGAGAGATGTTGGTGAGCAATAATAAGAGATGGGTGGCTGGGTGCCGTGGATCACTTGAGGTCAGGAGTTCAAGATTAGCCTGGCCAACATGGCGAAACCCTGTCTCTACTAAAAATACAAAAATTAGCTGGGCATGGTGGCACCCGCCTGTAATTCCAGCTACTAAGGCTGAGGCAGGAGAATTGCTTAAACCTGGGAGGCAGAGGTTGCAGTGAGCTGAGATCGTGTCATTGCCCTCCAGCCTGGAGACAAGAGTGAGACTCCCTCTCAAAAAAAAAAAGAGAGATGGGCAGTTCAGAGGGGTTTTTATTGTGCACTGCTGCGCAGGCTGTGGGACTTAAGGTACAGCCGATTTTATTTGTTTAGATTTGTGGCTTGTGAGGCATTTTGTTCTTGAAGGTTTTGTTCTGGGCTAAGTTCAGCTCTGTAGAGTTCTACCGCACCCCTGCACTCTGGCTGCCTTTCTGCCCTCTCTGCAATGGGTAAGGAGGAGGAGCCTTAGAGCTTGAGGCCAGGGTCGTCTCCTGACTTCACTGGGGCAGCACCCAGCATGCAGGAGGTAGTACCAGGGTAAGAGTAGGCGCTCCTGACCTTGAAGGTCATTAAGTGAGCAACGTAGAGAAAGCGTCTGGTTTTTATTTTGATTTCTGTTTTGTTTTTAAAACTAGTAGTTTGGGGGCAGTGGGGCCAGAATCATTACCTATGATGAAAGTGTTGGCCTGTGTAAAATTTGATGCTCCCCCACACCGACCCCCCACCTTTTTTTTTTTTTTTTTTAAGAATTGAGTTTAGCTATGGGTCAGGTCATTTTGCTGAGAGTCATCCCACTGGGTCATCAGACTTCCCATCCCCCTGCAAGTAGGAGTAGAGCTGAGCTCACAAGGAAGTTAGGAAGTGTCCTGCTGGAGCAGTTGTGGGAGCAGCCGGCAGTGGTGACTTGCCTCTCCTGCCCTTGCCAGAACGTGGGACTGGGTGAGTTCGTATTCCGAGGTGACCAAGAGTTAAAATAGTAAAACCAGGGAGCTTCCAAGAGGAAGCGCGGAGAGGAGTTGTTTGTTAGCTCATACCTCCAAAATGTTTAGGTGCTAAGTGGTGACTGCCTTCTGGAAATCGTTAATACTGTGCAGATTTTTTTCTGCATGTTATGTAGTCACCTTTACCCAGCCCGTCCTCCCTATCCTGGAACGTACTTCATTCATCATGTGACGTGTTTCTCAGTGTCACGTGGTATTTCATCCTTTGCTTTTCTCTCTGGTAGACTGTGAGCTCCTCAAGCTTGAGGGCTGGGTGTCAGCGTTCCTGCCCCAGCCCTTGTAGAGGACCCGGCAAGAAGGTCATGGTAGGCAGCAGTTGCTGAGTGGTCATTCCGTGCTAGAGATTGGTCACAATACTTTGCCCATGTCTGTTAATTTGATCTTCACACAACTTAAGAAGGGAGTAAATGCTGCTCTTCCCAGTCTCAGATGCAGAATCCGAGGTGCGGAAGCAATGAACCTGGGCATAAAGC